ATGTGCAGTTGTTGACGCTGCCAGTATTTAAACCAGCAAAGAAACCAGATCCCAGTGGAACGGAATGGAGCAGAATAAACATTTGACTTAAGCGTTTGGAAGAGTTGACGTTTCTGTATGCGTGGAAAACCTGAGTTTTGTTCGAGCTGCTGGGCGCCAGGGACATTCACCGTGGTTGTTCATATGAGACGCGTTTGTAGAAATCGAGACCTTTAGTACTAGTGACCACTGAAATGTGCCACGAACATTCTTGAAACTTCAGCATCAAGTAGGCGTATAGTGCAATTATCCGCACCACGGAGTGTTTGATGACTCTACCTTATGACCCTGCTGCCGGGGTAAAAACTCTGCCAATCTCACTCTCACAAAGCACTTTGCCTGTACCACACCACATCACCTTGTTTTCTCTGGAGTTTCACGGCAAGGTAAAAAGGTTGAATCGTACTGATTCAACTCCACAGGATGATGAAGAACCCATTTCTTTGTAGATTTCAACCTGACAAAGGAGTGATTCAGTTCTTTGAGCCTTGGAACGAAAAACACCAAGACTGAGTGGTTTATGTTAACCAGGATGAGTTTTCCATACAAGACTCCTTTTTTCGGTTTCTAAGCCTAACTCCAAACCAACGTCTTTTTTTTCCGGCTTTCAGTTTTCATGGCGAGCTCATAAGCTAAAGTGGAGAACGAGCACCTACCATAAGGTGCGTTAAAAAACCGTTGGATCAGGGGCATGCACTAAGTTCTCCGCAAGCAAAAATTGAAGTTTTCCTTCTTTTTCTTCAGTGAGCTGGTCATGTGTCGTTTATGGTTTGTTTGCCGTGGTCTACTAAGAGTTTTTTGGCGTTTGGCACGTCAAAATTAAGTCCCTCGAAAGCACGAAAGTATCTCCTTCACTGACATTTACTTGTCATCCATTAAACAATTGACTCGAAAGATGTCAAAATGACAGGTTCGGCTTCTCTGTACCATCTTGATGTAGGATCTTTTTGTACACAACTTCACCGCTGCATTCACTCTCTTTTGCAGGGGGAAATAGTTGGACACCTTGACCTTGTTTGTCGATAATGGGCTTCATTATTATGTGAGCTTTTGGGCCAGCTTATCTTCTTGCCTCAGTCTATATACGTACTGGTTCCCTATTTTGAGCCTTGCAAAGCATGACTTGTTACCAAGCCTCATTCCTTCTCGTCCACAGCTACTCTTGTGATGTTGACCACCGTATACGTCTTAGGGTTTTATTGTAGGCCAAAGTTGTTCATTGCTGATTGTATGACTTTCAGTACTCTGTTCAATTAATGCTTTCATGCTGCACTTTCTGAACAGGCATACTTGGATATTCGTCAACCCCTCGTTGCATTTAACCTCCATGTAACAGCGTTCAGGCACTGTGAAAACAGCGGGGGAAACGGGGCTTCTCACTGCGGTGCCCCCTGATGACGTTTATTGCCTTGGATGTTCCCATTTTATTCTTCATCCTCGCTACCTCTTTAATGTTTCAAAGGAGCTCTGATTTTGGAATAGTGCGTCATAGGTCCTCTTAGCCTCCACACACGCCAGGCTCAGGTTCCATTACCTGCACCTCCATCCTGGACCAAACCATGCTTATGAGGAATTTGGAGGTTCTCTCTCACAGCTTTATTGATGGTACCTTTCACAGGGCCTTCGATTTTTCTAAGAATGTCGACTTTTGGCCCCGGGGAAACTTAGGTTTCTTAGTGATACTAATATTGATAATTACTATTATCATCATCATCATCATTATTATTAACAGAAAAAGGGAGTAATGTTTAATTAGTGATGAAAACCGGGGGTTCTGCAAGAGATCTAAACTTGCTACTAATTGCAATCCTCTAGCCGAAATGAAACAATTTTGTTAATGCGTTAATATCATAGGTGACAAATTACTCCTTAATTTTGGCGCGAAATTTCAGCGTTAGTTTGTAATTTCACATGTGAAATTATAAAATTGCTATGGCAACCCTTCCGTACGTATCAGTGTCAAGATGGCGATGAAGTTTTAAAATGCCGTGAATGAAGATGTCATGGCACAAAAACACGCTTTAGAAAACCTGAGAACATCAAGAAGGATATTTTGCCGAAAAAGTCTCAAAAATTCTGAACTTTATAAGCCAAATTTAAGGTCTAAACATTTGAGAGAAAGGAGTTCTCGATCGATACGATCCAGGATAAACCCGTCAAAAATCCAAGATTGCTAAGGTAATTCGTCACCCATGATATTCATAAGTAATCAAATGGTATACTCGTGAAATTAGGAAATAATTTCACTTGCGTTTTGTCCAAATTCTAATAATTTCCCTCGCCTGAAGACTCGGGAAATTATTAGGATTTGGACAATTTCGCGTGAAATTATTCCCTAATTTCACTCGTCACCATTTGATTACACATACTAATTATTCAGTTATAGATGTAATCATCGCAGCTCTACCATGCTACACGCAACGCGCTGGGTTGTGTAGCACTGCTTCGCAATGATAGGAAGAGCTCACCAAGAAAAATCAATGAGTGAGTCAGTTTTTTTTTCGCGCATATTGCAGAATTATAAAGCTATGACAATACCGCCGATATTGGCACGGAAATTCTTCTTCTTGTCTGTTTATAATTGCAATCTGCGTGCATATACACCCTTAAGGTCAACTTGCTCTCCCTTTCTGTCGATCATTTATAAATGTAGGAGTCATGATTTGCATCATCCGAGTTTCATCTAATCGGGCGAAAAAGTTATAATGTCTTTTCCATTCTTTTTAGTACATGGTCGGACGTCTCTTAACGATATAAGTAAGTCAGGTCGTAGGGCGTCAAGCAATATACAGGTATTTTTGTCCTTGTTGGTTTCGCCATCTTCTGCAATTTCTTCGCGAGAAATCTACGTAGCACTTGCAATCTTTTCCTCCTGGCGACATGTATCTGGCGCGATTCGGTGGGTTTTTGGATTCCATATTAGAGCTTTAAACACAGAAAGCGGTTAATTCCTCATCACAGCGTTTCTGTCTTGCACAACAATATCATAAACAAGAGTAACCAATTCTGCTGGGGCTAACATATGAGTGATGTCCAAATGAGTGATAAGTAATTAATTAATTGTATATATGCGCCATGGACTGCTGCATTTTTTTAAATTAACTGATAATTTAATAAAATTTCAATTTCCTTTATTCTTTTGGCTCTTCGCCGACCACTTCTAGCATTCGGTAATTGTCTTGGGAAAACTACGTGGCTGAGATACTGAGGAACTAGTGCTGGCCGTCTCTTTCGTGAGCGAAATATTAAGTCACATTGTCAAATTGAAACCATCTAACCTGGTGGTGTCGACCAGAACTCTGCAGTTATTGGCGTGGCGGAAATCATAATGCGCCTAATTGCGTGAAAGTCAACTTGGAACCATCAGCCCAGAGGGAGGGTTCGTTGTCTGCGTTCGTGCCCTCCTTGTTTTTTATCAAATGTCATGTCTCTCGCTCCTAAGATTGATGAAATCCGCCACGTTGCAAGTTATGCAAATCTGGATTGCATTTGTATAACTTAGACTTGGCTTAAAAGCCATATTCACGACAATGTAGTCAAAATAGATGGCTTTAACCTGGTACGACGGGACGAAGTTGACATTGGACACGGTCATGTTTGCGTCTTCATTAGAAACAGTATGGAATCGAGTTGTAAAGGTGTGAAGTGTACTACAGTTCAGAATAAGATAGTTGTTTCGAGAAAAAGCAATTTTATTGTATCCATTTTTATTTACCATAACACTTAGAGTAACAAGCCATAACTGTGCTATACATCTAAATAAATTGCATCGGCCAGGTATCTAAGAAAGCTCTCTTGAGCTCTTCTATGGAGATCCCCTTAATGTACTTAACTATTTACAGATAGAAGATGGGTTTTTAACGCATTTAGTAAATAATAGGTGACTGAAAACTATAACTAACAACAGTAATAAATTGATTCTGAACACGGTCGTTAATTAGTTTTTTAAAAAGAATTATATGATTTTATTTTTTTAAGATCGTTTGGCAAATCAGTATGTATGTTTGATGAAAAACGCGTATAATGAATATGTATTTATTTCTTTAATGTGAAATAATTATTTAAACAGTTTGGTAGGTCATGATTGAAATACGCGTACATAAATAGTGCGGTTAGATAGGTATTCAGCTCATTTTACAAATGACTTGATTGATACGATGTTTTCATGAGAGTTGCTCGTCTTTACATATGCCTAAAACTTTTGTCTTTTTAACCTGATCAATAAGTTCATTTATTTTGATTGTGATGTTTTGATTTATTTTCTTGCCTTTTAATTTAAAAACAAGAAGTCGCCTGAAGGCGTGTACGCGGGATGTGTTGGTGTAAGTAAGAATTATGTTGAATGGCATTGGAAAATGTGTGCAGGGGAGACGGAGATGTTCTGGTAAATACACTAGAAGATGAGTTACACACAAGGGTCCTTTGCTCCTCTAAACGAAACTTACATCAATATCATCACCATATATGTTAAGAGTATGGGGTAGTTCACTAAAATCTGCATTCCGGCTTTACTAATATCCTCAATAAATGCTCTTCCCCATTCAACTATAGCATGTAATGTATCAGACTTCCAATGAATAACTACAAGGCGCAAGGCTGTGCTCTAAGAAAAATTGTCAGGGAGCCCCTGAGATCCCCAGGCCTAGAAGATAATCGCCCAAATAAACAGAACACTTAAGTTAGGGTGCCGGGCCTCCCAGTTGGTCACCCAAATTAATAAAGCAATGAGCTTTTAGATGATTATTAAAAATCAAACAAATTATTTTCTAAACAAAAAAAGCATGACCTTGTGTTTTGATTTTTTAAGTTCAAGAAAAATCACATCCTTTGACCTCCTTAGCGTAAGAAAAAAATCTCGCATGTTGTCACATGAAAGCAACGAAACCCATAAAAGTGTTCGCGCCATATGAGAGACAAGGGCAAGGCCGCAGAATACTTCATAGTTTTTAAATGCCAAAGGGGACACAAGGGACACAGGGAAAACAAGGGACACAGGGGAAACAAGGGACACATTGGACACAGGGAACACAAGAGTCACAGGGGGGACACTGGGGACACAAGGGATACAAGGAACACAAGGGACACAGGAGACACAGGGGACACAAGGGGGCACAGGAGACACAAAGGACACAGAGGACATGAGGAGACACAAGAGACAGAAACGACACAGGGAATACAGGAGACACAAGGGACACAGGGGACAGAGGAGATACAAGGGGACACAGGGAACACAGGAAATACAGAAGACACAAGGGACACAAGGGACGCAGAGGACAAAAGGGGGCACAAGGGGACACAGCAGACACAGGGAACACATGGGAACACAGGGGACACAAGGGACACACGGGACACAGGGGACACAAGGACACACAAGAGGACACAGGGGACACAATTGACACAAAAGATACAGGGAATAGAGGGGACACAAGGGACACAGGGGACACAAGGGGACACAAGGGACACAGAGGACACAAGGGAACACAGGGGACACAAAAGATACACAGGGGGCATAAGGGACACAAGGGAAACAAAGGACACTGGGGACACAAGGGATACATGGGACACAAGGGGACACACGGGACACATGGGATACAAAGGAGACGGGACACAGGGGAGACAAGGGGCACAGGGGACACAAGGGACACAGAAGACACAAGGGGAAAAAGGGGTCACAGGGGACACAAGGGACACAAAAGACACAGGGGACACAAAAGGACACAGGGGACACAAGGGACACATGGGACATAAATGGACACAGGGGAGATAAGGGGACACATGGGAAACAGGGGACACAGGAGACACAAGGGACACAAGGGGACACAGGGGACACAAGGAGACACAGGGGATACAAGGGACACAAATGACACAGGGGACACAAGGGACACATGGAACACAAAGGGGACAGGGGACACAGGGGTCACAGAGGACACAAGGGACACAAAGGACACAGGGAACACAGGGGTCACAGAGGACACAGGGGACACAAGGGGACACAAAGGAGAAAAGGGACGCAGGGGACACAAGGGGAGACAAGGGAGACATGGTACACAAGGGGACACAAGGTACACTGGAAAGGGGACACATTGGAAAGAGGGGACAGTTAGTGAGATTGTGGTCTGTTATTGTAATTTTTATTAAAATGTTTGGGTAAAAATTAAGGACACTATTTTTTTACTTATCATTTTGGTTGAAAAGGAAATTCGTTTAACATAAATGACTGAGATCCCGTGGAGCTTTCCTGGAAAGTTGCTATGAATTTCAACGAAACCGTGGCCGCCCTAAAACTATTATCTCTTTTGAATGGATCATCTTGGTGTAAAGTCGTCGTTTATATTATCAGTGTAATGCTCAGAGCAAATGAGTTTTTGGTGGATTCGGTAGCCAGCTAGCTCTACTTTGACCGCTAAATTTAGCTTTTGCGTATTTGTATTTAGTACGTGATACGTAATGACTTGTCATGACACCAAAGACAGTGCGGGATTTTATAGATTTACGTACTTTTTTAAAAAAATCACTTTTCTTTTTTTATATATACATCGTATTTCACTGGAACAAAAATCTTAAGTTATGTTTTAGCCACGGAGACACAGCAGTAAAAAACAGGTAAAAATATTTAATTATCGTAAAACTGGGGCCACTCCCGTGTATATTCAGAGACTTTAAAATACAAAACTTTTGTTTCGCGTCGCCGACCGTACTTTACGCCTGTCAGGGCAGAAAAAACAATTTCTTTTGAAAAACTAACTAATGAACCATTCTAATTTAAGAAAAAAAATAATGCTATTTTAAAAAGCTATCAAAATAAAAAAAATGTGCAGCTTGTCACGTTCATAGTCAAGGATTTTTGTTACATGTGAATTCAAGTGCTAGGATCTTTGAACATCAACGCGCGCCCGGTGCCCGATTTACACGTAACAATCTTTCAAAAAGCTTTTTGATAGACATGCTACATACAAGTTCGTCTCAAGAGTTTCTTAGAGAGCGGAACGTTCTTTTAAGGCTGCCAAGCGGCCGAGTGAGCTGCGAAGTCGCAACTAATAAATTCTAGCTTTTTGAATTTAAATCAAGAACCCAACACCTGCATGTCGCCCGGCTGGGTGACGTGGACAATATTTTCAGTCACCCGAGGCCAAGCCTTAGTCGCCTCAGGCGACTGGGCGCCGTAAGTTCGAGCACAGCCTTGACTTAGCCTTCCTGACGCAGTATCTGTTTTCTGCTTGTGCAATCCAACCTGACTTGCACGTGATTCGAAGTTGCAGCAAAGTAAAAATTACACAATTTTTCGGGACGGGCACGGGATACGAGAAAGTTAAAAAGAACAGGCAATTTTTTACTCCCAAGTAAAATACGAAAGAAATTGCTACCGAATTTATGACGCTGTTTGACTACGTCATCCCGCGTAATAAGGTTATGTGTTTTCTTCGCTTTCAATAAAAGTTTGTTCTTTGAAAGCCATGAAGCCACTTTTATACGTTCCTGGTTTATAGTCAGTTGTAGTATGTCCACGCTTTTATGACTAAAGAACAAATTCGTGCCACTAGCAACGAGAATGACTGTTAATATATAAGAGCATTTAGGAATATTATTCAAATAAATAAGAAAGGGGAGGGTTTAGCTTATATTCCGGGCTAATGATATTTGTTTTGCCATTCAGCACTTGTTTTGTCAAAACCACCTTCGCCGTCTGTATGGAACGTTCAGCAGTGTAATATTTAAGTCATGAAACCACAGCATGTAGACGAACCATGTGCTAGTCCTCCATTTTTAATGTACTGCGCAAGTGATAAATACAAAGAGCCTGGAACCTAATATATTACACTCCTCCCGAATAATGGGTGGGTTAGCATAACATCAGCAACAAGAAAATGCACGTCTAACAGATAAACAATGTTCAGCGTTCGTCATCTACTTAAACAATGTTCACATTTCACATATGAGTCTACGTGGTGGTCTCCTCTCCCGACTTGGGTACCTCAGTGCTGGGTGCGGTGACAATGGTATCCCTGAGAGACTTGCTCCCTCCATAGCGTCTCCCAGTGATGATTCTGGTGTCACCTCAGTTGTGTCCTGTTCCCCCACGTCACCTGCATCCGGAACTCCTCCTGCCTCGGATATATTAACCAGTGGTTCAGAAGGACTCCACGCTCCACTCTTCACTTCGGCTTGGGAACTTGGGAAGTTCCGTGCGTAATTACTATCTTCCCCGCCCTCCCAAGAGCTTAAAGACTGGATCCAGAGAGCACTCTTCAAATGGTCCACGTGGACAAATCGTATTTGATCCTCACAGCGGACTAAGTAAGTGCGGGGACCTTTCACCTGAGCGATCCTTCCGGGGATCCACCTTTCAACATCACGCCGCCAACAACGAACCAAGACCACTTCATTCAACTTGAACTCTCGGCGTTTTACTAGTCCTTCATCGTGGTGCTCTTTCTTCCTCAACTGTTGGTCCTCCATGGCTCTGTTAAGGTTGGGTTTCAGTAATGTGAAACAGTTCCTAATCTGTCGTCCCAAAAACAGCTCAGCGGGGGATTGCCCAGTGACAGTGTGAGGTTTGCTACGATTTGAAATAATAAAGTTGGCCAGCCTATGCTCCAGACTGAGGGAATTTGCTTTGCCATCCAGCACTTGCTTGGTCAAAACCGTCTTGGCAGTCTGTACAGAACGTTCAGCAGCTCCATTAGATGCAGGATGGTACGGTGGAACCCGGGTAAACTTGACTCCATTCTGCTTCAAGAATTGAGAGAACTCTTCCGATGCTAGCTGCGGCCCATTGTTCGAAACCACCTCTTCCGGTATTCCGTAGCGTGCAAACAACGAGCGCAAAACCTCGATGGTTTTCAAACTGGTCATGGAACTCGTGGGGGTCACCTCCAGCCACTTGGAATAGGCATCAACAACAATCAAGAAATTCAACTTGCCCTTCTCAAAGAAATCAATGTGGATACGCTCCCATGGCTTAGCAGGCCATTTCCAAGGGGTATAATGGTTCCCTTGAAGGGAACTTGCCCAAGGGAACACAAACGTGACATTGCTGAACCCTCTCAACAATAGCAGCATCCAATCTGGGCCACCAAAGACAACCCCTCGCCAGCGACTTCATCCGGCAGATTCTGTGATGCTCTTGGTGCAAGTCATCCAACAGACGAACACGATACTTCTCAGGAATAACCACACGTAAACCCCACAACACACAGCCTCGGTCAACACAAAGTTCTTGCTTTCGTGAAAAGTAAGGCTCCAACACTGGAGCATTGAACGCTTGGGGCCATCCATGCAAAGTGAAGTCGTACAGACGAGCTAAAACCGGGTCTTTTCTAGTTGCAGCCACAATGTCCCGGGCTGTAACTGGAAGTTCTTCCAGGTAACTGATCAAATACTCCTCTTCCTCCTCCTCTTGCTCTTCTAAAGATGCCTGTACCAGTCTTGACAAAGCATCTGCATTTACATGTTCAGCAGACTTCCTATACTCAATTTCATACTAATAAGCTGCTAAAATCAAAGACCACCTTTGCATTCTTGCTGCGGCCAGCTGAGGTTCACCAGTCTTCGGCCCAAGAATTGTGACCAGCGGCGATGATCTGTAAGCAATTTAAGCCTCCGACCATACAGATACGAATGGAACTTTCTCGCTCCAAACACGATGGATAAGGCCTCTTTCTCTATTTGGGAATGGTTATGCTCACTAGCTGTGAGAGTTCGAGATGCAGAAGCAATAGGCTTTTCCTCGCCGTTCTCGATAACATGAAAGATAACCGCTCCTACACTATAGCGTGATACATCACACGCCAGCCGAAGTCACTTCTTCAGATCAAAATGGACCAGCAAAGGAGAATCTTGTAACTGCTTCTTACTGTTAACAAACGCTGTCTCGCACGCCTCCGTCCACTTCCAAGGTCTATCCTTTTGCAAAAGGTCATGAAGAGGATGCAGTGTCGTCGCCAGATTGGGCAGGAACTTGCCATGATAGTTAAGCAGTCCCAGATACGACTTCAACTCTGTGCCATCTGTAGGACTCTTGGCTTGCATGACTGCATCCATCTTCTGAGGGAGGGGACGAATGCCATACTTGTCAATCCAGTGTCCAGGAAACTCGAGGCCCGACTGGAAGAAAATGCACCTCGCTGGATTCAAGCTGATGCCATGTTCTTGTAAGAGCGTAAAAACTTCCTCCACGATTGCCAACTGTTCCTCAGGGGAACCCCCTGAAATCAGGATGTCATCCAAACGGCAAACTGTGGACTTAACCCCCTGTAGAAGCTGATCCATAATCCTTTGAAAAATACTTGGTGCACTGGAGACTCCAAGCGGCAGTCGTTTGTAACGGTACAAACCCTTGTGTGTGTTAATTGTTAGGTACCTCTACGAGTATTCATCCAGCTCTACCTGCTGATACGCGTGAGATAAATCAATCTTGCTAATACTTGTCCCCCAGCTAACGTCGCAAAAAATGTTTCTGTATTAGGCAAAGGGTACTGTCGACATCGGCACATTGCTTCACTGTCATCTTGTAGTCGCCACACACTCTCAGTGAACCATCGTTCTTGAGGACCAACACCACTGGTGCAACCCAGTCACTTTGACTTACTTTGCAGATAATCCCTTCATCCTCCAGTCTCTGAAGCTCCTGCTCCATCTTTTCTTTAAGAGCATATGGAAAGGGTCTTGCTTTCAGAAATAGGGGCTGTGCACCTTCACGGACCTGAATGGAGGCTTTATACAGTTTGATGTGTCCATACCTCTTCTCAAACAGGGCTTCATACTTAGCAAGGATATCCTCCGCGGTAGGCACATGAGACACCTTTAAGATGGTGGACCAATCCAGATCCAGTTTCTCAAGCCAGTTACAATCAAGCAACACAGGCTTTTTTCCTTGAGCAACCACCAGAGGTAGTTGCATTTCCTGGGTCTGATACTTAAAAGCGACTCGAATCTCCCCCAACAACTGTAATGACTCACCAGAATAGGTTTTCAAGTGGAACTGC